TGTGGGGGTGTAGGGGCTCGAGCAGTAGCTGGGAGAGAGTCTGGGCACAGGGGCGCTGAGGGTGCAGGGGTGCAGCCTCCTCTCCTGTTCGATGGCAGAGTAACGCTGTCTGTCCGTGCCGGTCGGCTGCAGGTCCGAGGCGGCGGATAAGAAGCTGGGCCAGCCGGGCACCCCTGGGGGTCACGACCTGGAGGCGGCGCTGCGGCGCCTGTCGGCGCGCCAGGAGAGCCACAGCTCGGAGCGGCCGTTCTTCGAGGTGGAGCGCGAGCGCAAGCTGCAGGCGCTGGCGGCGGGCGGGGACTCCAGCGGGTTCCTCACCCCCAACGACAGCATCCTCTCCACCGGGACCAACTACTCCGGCAGCTCCCAGCACTCCGGCTCCGGCCTGTCCTGCGGCTCCCGGTCCTGTCTGCCGGACCGCCTGCAGATCGTCAAGCCACTGGAAGGTGAGCCGGGCCGGACCGGGATATCGGACTTCTGACCCGGTCTGAGCCGCAGTCACTTCAAGCCAGGCCCTTGTCTCGAGGTCTGGACGTACTTGTTCCTCTGGGAGCTAGACAGGATACCGCTGTACTGGTGCCTCTAGTGCAGGCGTCCTGTTCGCCCCCTAGTGGTGAAATAAGACATGGCGCTCGGTGGAACAGTGGAGAGCCGGATTTGAACAGAGATAATAATAATTGCTTACACTTTCTGGACACTCCACTCAAAGCGCTTTACAGATAATGGGGATCCCCTCCACCACCACCAGTGTGCAGCCCCACCTGGATGATGTGACGGCAGCCATAGTGCGCCAGAACGCTCCCCACACACCAGCTCTCAGTGGGGAGGAGAGCAGAGTGATGAAGCCAGTTCAGAGATGGGGATTATTAGGAGGCCATGATTGGTAAGGGCCAATGGGAAATTTGGCCAGGATGCCAGCGTTACACCCCTACTCTTTTCGAGATTGGATGTTTAATGACCACAGAGAGTCAGGACCTTGGTTTTACGTCCGTTCCGAAGGACGGTGCCTGTTTACAGCATAGTGTCCCCGTCACTATACTGGGGCATTAGGACCCACATGGACCGCAGGGTGAGTTTTTCCCAGGAGGTCTCCCATCCAGGTACTGACCAGGCTCACACCTGCTGAGCTCCAGTGGGCTGCCAGTTGTGAGTTGCAGGGTGATATGGCAGCTGGCTGTTACTGGTCATTAAAAAAGAGATGACCCAGAGGAGGGGCTGACACTGGCAGAAAGGCCAGCATTCACAATAATACATGCAGATGTTTGCCTTTACCAGCTGCCCTGGTAAAATGTTAAAATTAGATAGTGTCTTGAGTCCTTGAAATTAGCTTTAAAAAAACCTAGCAAGGAACAGAGATATCTGCAGAGGAAATATATTTTTTCCCTTTTTTCAGACACTCTTTTGGAAAGTAAGATTTTGTTAGGGGTTAAAAGCTGAAGATTTCTCTGCTCTGGGCCTGTGTCACCATCGGCGTCACCCCCTCCCTCTCGCCATCCAGGCTCAGTGACCCTGCACCAGTGGCAGCAGCTGGCGCGGCCCAACCTGGGTGGCATCCTGTACCCCCGGCCCGGCGTCCTCACCAAGGACTTCCGGGAGCTGGACGTGGACCTGGAGCAGGTGTACAGCCTGAACGACCTGGAGGAGGACGAGCCAGACCTCAGCCTGTTCCCTGTCCCACAAAGCGCCAGGGGTAAGTACAGGCACAGGACCCTCCCCCGCCCTGCCCCACACCTCCCATCGCCTTCCCTGGGCCGCAGCCAGGGGCTGTTATAGGCTACAGGGGCTGTTATAGGTGTGGGAGAGGGGTGATGTCAGACTGAAATTAGACAGACCAGGTCTTTTGATAACAGAACAGAGCCTGACAGTGATCACTGAGTCCTCACTTGGAGAGATTGCTCTCAAAGACCCACTGGAACGCCGAGTCAGTCCAGTCCCCCTGCACAGCTCCTCCCCGGTCACTCCAGTCCCCCACCTGCACAGCTCCTCCCTGGTCACTCCAGTCCCCCACCTGCACAGCTCCTCCCTGGTCACTCCTGTCCACTACCTGCACAGCTCCTCCCTGGTCACTCCTGTCCACTACCTGCACTGCTCCTCCCTGGTCACTCCAGTCCCCCACCTACACAGCTCCTCCTCGGTCACTCCAGTCCTCCACCTGCACAGCTCCTCCCCGGTCACTCCTGTCCACTACCTGCACAGCTCCTCCCTGTCCTTCATGGTCAGTCGAAAGCCACTTGCAGGCACTGTAGCCTGGGAAAGGTCAAAGTGCACACAGGAGGCCAGCTCCCCCATGCCATCACTGCCTCACGGACTCCTCCTCCCTCACCCTCTCTCCTCCCTCACCCTCTTGCTCTGTGTGTGCTCATTGCCATGCCATCTGTGTGTTAACCCCGCCTTCTCCCATCTCCTCCATTCCAGTGTCTCAGTCCTGTAACAACCTGCCCCCGACCCCCCCCACCAACACCATCACCACCTGCCGGATTCTGCACCCCACGCTCCAGCTCTCCGCCCCCCCGCGCAGGTAAGACAGGGGGCAGGGCAGAGCCACAGCCTGGCGAGGGAGCGCAGGGAGGGGCTGCAGTCACACCCCCTTTGCGTCTTCTGAAGCCTCATTTCGCAGGTCCAGACCGGAAGCCAGCAGTTCACAATGCAGTAAAATACTGCACTGCACAGATCAGCACAGCAGAGCTAGATACCCCTTGACCACAAACTGCATGAGACGGAATGCTAGCGTTATATGTTGTGTAATACATTGCAGCACACAGACTTCTCGAGCAGGGTCTGGGCTCAGGTGTTCTCTGCTTGTGTAACTGCTGTGTATTAAGGAAGCAAAGCTCTAGTGAAAACAGACAGCCGCAGTATACAGTTCATTCCCACCTGGGTCCTCAAGCCTGCACAGCGTCCTGCTCTGTCCTGCATTTCCTGGCCTCTGTCTGCTGTCCTGCACTTCCATCGAGGAGAGGGGTTTGTATGTTCACGACGGGAAGGCAGCCTCTTCCTCATCTTCCTCCATTTTCTTCCTCTAGACAGCGAAAGCCCTGGTACCGGATGCTGCTCCAGTTCTGAAGGGCTTTGTGGTGCCAAAGTAAGAGTTTCCCAGTGTACAAGTGTCCCAGCAGACAGCTGCCCCCGGCCAGGGCTCCTGGCACAGCGGACAGCAGCCCCTGCCATGCTCTGCGCCCAGCATGCCAGCAGGCCTGAGCCCGGGGAAGACACAGCAGCACTGAACTCTGCTCTACACCCACTGACCTCTCAGTCAGCCTGGCTCCTTTCAGCATTGCTAACGTTATTCCTTGACAAAGGCAGCAGTCTTACTGTGCACGCTGGCGAGGGCAGGTGTGTGTGCCCTACTCAGGCTCGACTTCGCTGACACTGGCCTTGAGGGCAGTGCAGGGCCCTACGCTGACTGCCACCTCCCTCTGGCAGGGCTGCAAGCTCATGAACATGAGACAAAACCAGCATTCTTAATTTCCAGTCCACTGATGCAGTTGCCTTCCAGGCCTTTGCCAAGGTAGAGGGGCTGTGTTGTAATACGCACAGATGTTGCCTCAGTAGAATAAGTGAAGAATAGCAGCTTTCTGTCAGCACAGGCTGAGCACGGTGGGCCCCTGCTCCTGTCCCTCAGCCCTCGGCCCCTCTAACAGCCCCCTTCCTGCTCTCTAACCCCTGACTAACAGCTCAGAACTAACAGCACACTTCAGTCTTCTCTTCTGTCAGCGTCCCGGCACTGAGTCCCGCCAGCTTGAACTTTGCACCTTTCACAGGGAGCACAGCTGCAATCGAGCACCTTTATTCGTGTCCCCTTGGTGACCTTACTGACATTGGACACCAGGCAAGGTCCAAACGCAGGAGAGCTGCTGACGTGACGGAGAGCTCAGAGCAGAAGCCCTGGAGCCAGCAGAGTTCCCTCCGTGGGGACTCAGAGAAGGGACGCTGACCCCTCTGACCGGACCGCACGCGGCACTAACCCTGCCCTCTGGGTTCGGCCCGCTCCTAACCGCCCCGTGTTTCCCTGTCCCTGCAGCCTTCGTCCTCGAAGCCTGTCCTCTTGTGGGACCGCTGAGGGGCTAGCGGCCCCCTCCGGCGGGGCGGGGCTGAGGCGGCCGCGCTGCGAGTCCTCCACCAACCTGCGGGAGCACGCCCACACGCACAGCGCCTCCCTGGGGCTGGTCCGGCTGCTGCAGGAGCGCGGCATCTCCGCCGCCGTCTACACCCGCCAGCAGGGCGGCAGGAGCGAGCTCGGCGCCCCCCCGGCCCCCCAGCTGGCCAGGCCACCGGGCGAACAGGACAGGGGCCGTGCCAGCGCTGCCCCCTGCAGGAAGGGGAGGAACATTTTCAGCTTCAATCTGGTGGAGAAGCTGCGCTCTCTGGGTCTGGCCAAGGTGGCGGCCCGCGGGCTGATCGACCCCGGGGACGAGGCCGAGGAGCCCTGACCATCCCGCCCGCTGTGCCCCAGGCGGGCAGGAAAAACACACACCAGTCATCTCGGACCCGTCCACGAAGGGCACTGCTTGCTGCTCAGCACCGACCCAGCTCTGTTCCGCTGTCTCAGCTGTGGATTTCTGCTGCTGTCGATCCAGCCCACTTCCTCCTGGACTGGGGGGCTATGCGGTGCCGCTGGGACATGCCAGCGGGCCGGCGCCGGGCCCAGACGTGTCCCGATTGTTTTATATTAAAACTTGCACTGGGGGCTGTGGACAGCGGCAGCCCTGTTTTAATGACACTGCTGTTGTAACGCACGCCTGGTGTGAAACAGCAAATTGCACTTTCCTTTCTTCAGGACCTCCTGACTGCCTGTGGCAGGGCTCTGTCGTGAAGTGTAAACGTGTTAAGTTTCTGTGTGTTGTGCTCTTAATCCTTGTTTTTGATTCTGGGTGATGTCTTACCGTGGAACTGTACTGTAGTAACTCCTGGTGGTGTCCGGTCTGGGCCAGTCAATCCCAGTGTTCCCAGACCAGGAACCCAGCCAGCACAAACTCAGGGAACCATGAAACCTGTGGTCAACTCTGAAAGGGTAGATTTGGCCTCCAGCATTGTTGTGTGTCCAGGCTGCCTGTAGAGGGCGCCACAGCAGCTGTGTGCAATGCTGCAGGTGCTGACTCCTGCCCTTAAGTTTCACCTGCAAAGACTTAACACTGATTTTCTGGTAAACTGCAGGGAAAACATGCTGTCTTTCTTTTGGTTTACTTGTGTTGTTGTAGAGATCCTATGATGTGTCCAGTGTGTTATAGCCATTAATTTTGTTTTGTATTTTTTATTTTTTAAACCACATAGGACTCTGAGAATGCTGAGCTTCTCCAAACACAGAATCCCTTCTGAATGGTGAGGAGTATCACTGCACTTCACAGAGGCAGATTATATATAAATAGAGAGAAAGCACCTTAGAATTGCTTTGGGGAGCACTGTTCACATTTGCACAACGTTAAGAGTAACAAGCACTAGTGTCCCTCTGTTTTAAAATTACTTTTTACATATTTAACAACTTTATGTTCTTAAAATGGCTTTTTGTCTTAAAAGACCAAATAGAGCCCCTGTTTAACCCCTGTGTTACCTTCGTGCAGGCCTTGACAGGGAGCACTGAGCTCGTCTGGAGAGGCTGGCTCTGGGTGCGAATTCTCCAGGTCCAGCTGGAAACCAGCCAGCCTGTCAGAGCACACAGAAACAGCCAATTAAAAAACAGATACGAGAAAGTTAGTACAAATTATAAAAGGTTCTGGACTGTGAATTTTTAAAAATTTCTTTGCAATTAAAAATAGGAAAAGCAGCAGCAGAGAAATGTAGAGATATTTTTACACAGTATACAGTTCAGATGCCTGGGTTTGTGTGTGTTACATCTGTCTAATAAAAAGGCCTCTTAAATTGTTTTTCCTCTTAATTGAAACTGGATTACCTCTACATTAAACTCAAAGAAAACAATAGACCTGCCCAGATCACACACCTGCTCAGATCACACAAACACACACCTGTCCAGAACACAAACCTGTCGAAATCACACACTTGTCCAGGAGGAGCTCAGCTTGTGATTCTTCAAAACAGCAGTTCAGTCTGATCTCGAACTAAACTAATCAGTTTGGGGTCCTTTTTCTGCTAGAAACATGCTCTCAGGTCTATTTTCACAAACTCTGCTGTTGTTCTTTAGTGGTCTGGGGTATGGGCTCTTTTCAGTTTCCCTTGTTAACGAACTGAGGAGCCCCAGCTCCAGCCTAGTTTCCTAGTTACTGTATTATATCAGGCTCAGGCAATCTAGGGTCCAGTCTCTGAACAGCTGGGGTTCGTCTTTCATCTCTATGAAGAGACAGAAGTTTATAACTTTGATTTTCTGCCTCAGACTGGCTGCTGGAACTGCTTGACATCCCAAACACTATGGATCCAAAGATTCTCTTTTTACAGCTTTTAAGATCCTTCTAGCTGGGTTTTACAGCGGCCCAGCTGAGCCCACTCTGTGAGACACGAGCCCTGGTGCCCAGGGTGCGTGGGGCAGCAGAGAGTGGGCTCTCGCTGCGACTACTTCTGTTGTGTCTTTGTATATCATTACCTGTTGTAAATATTGAAACGTTTCAATAAAGATCATGCATCAGACATGACCTGTGTGCATGCACTCTGTTAGTGAACCCTCACAGGGAGGAGGGAAACTCTTCTGCTTTTGTCTTCCTCTGGGTGGTGGGGTGTGTCTCAGGCTTTTAGGTGCTGTTCTGGGGCGGAGCGGTGGCTCTGTTGTTAAGGATCTGAGCCTGTGGCTGGAGGGTTGCCAGTTCAAATCCCACAGCTGGCAGAGGAATCCTACTCTGTTGGGCCCTTGAGCAAGGCCCTGAACCCCAATTGATCCAGGGGCACTGTATAAATGACCCCAAGCTTCTCTCCCTATCTGTGTGTCTCATAGAGACCAAGTTGGGGTATGTGAAACAGACAAATTCCTAAAGCAAGAAATTGTATATGGCCAATAAAGTGATCTTATGATCTCTGCTTGAGACTGAAGACCAGTGCAGGAACTTGAGCTCTTCAGTCTTGGAAAGTGACAGTGGTGGACAGGATTCCAGGAATGATGATGCTGAACAGACACTGTCCTGCAGGTCTGTTACATGTGTTTGAATTCTAATTGAGAAAAGGGTCTAATTCATCTTTAAAAGTTCAGATGGAGCTGTAGACCAGGAGAAAGCTGGAGTGTACTGAGACAAGGGGAAGGACATTCAACACTAAACTGTCTGTAGGGTTAGCTCCTGATTAGTCAACTGCAACTTTTCTCCTCTCCTTAAATGTGTTTGTTTCCAAATTATTATTCTGAGCCATCCACATGTGCTTTTAAATGTGTCAAACCAGCATCGCCAGCAGCCATATCACTCTGCAACTCACAGCTGGCAGCCCACTGGAGCTCAGCAGGTGTGAGCCTGGTCAGTACCTGGATGGGAGACTCCTGGGAAAACCGAGGTTGCTGCTGGAAGAGGTGTTAGTGGGGCCAGCAGGTGGTGCTCACCCTGCAGTCTGTGTTGGTCCTAATGCCCCAGTATAGTGATGGGGACACTATACTGTAAACAGGCGGATGAGACGTAAAACCGGTCCTGACCCTGTCGTCATTAAAAATCCCAGGGCGTTTCTCGAAAAGAGTAGGGGTGTAACCCCGATGTCCTGGCCAAATTTCCCATTGGCCCTTACCAATCATGGCCTCCTAACAATCCCCATCTCTGAACTGGCTTCATTACTCTGCTCTCCTCCCCACTGATAGCTGATGTGTGGTGAGCGTTCTGGCGCACTATGGCTGCCGTCGCATCATCCAGGTGGGGCTGCACACTGGTTGTGGTGGAGGGGATCCCCATTACCTGTAAATCGCTTTGAGTGGTGTCCAGTAAAGCGCTATATGAGTTTAAGCAGTTATTAATTATTATTTTTTACAGCCCCAAATCTGCAAGGCTTCAGCCACGGTGAAGGGACTTCGAGGAAGAAACAAATGAGCAAAGAGCAGGTAATTATATTACAGAAGGTAATTTTAATTTATTCATGATCATATTTCAAATAAACAAAATATCATCTACTGCAGCTTGCAAATCTGTACAGTACTGGCGACTTGTCAATGGAATCTTGATTTTTGCAAAAGTCGGCAGGGTGCACTTCCCCCAAGAGGCCACTAGAGGCTTCAAGAGTCGAGCTCCTCGGCGCTGCGCCGCCCGAAGTCCATCCATCCGTGATAGTCGCGGTCCGAGATGTTGATGGGGTGGTCGTCGCTGCAGCCCTCGCGGTGCGCTAACTCTGCAGACAGACAGAGACGGACAGGAATCAGTGCTTCAAACTAACCACTTGACAGTGAAGTCTGGGTTTTGTGATGGCTGTGCGCTGTTCTTTTCTGTGTGCTGGGAAAGTGGAGTTCTATAGGTTTTTTAAAGTAAAAACGATGATTAAAACAAGCATCTCGGAGTAGAGAGAGAGACAGAGCGAAATTTACAGCGAGATGTAATTTTTTTTCTATTAAATGTCAATGAAAGGAATGAACCCGACATTATAAGGGATTGGTTCTCACAATAACATACTCCGCGAATGTCGGGATATAGAGATGTCTAGTCCTGGTTCAGAAGTTACAAATCTTCCTTTTACGCTGCGCTCTCAGTTACTGAATCGGGATCACTGTTGTATTAATTTATTTCTCGTTCTGTGCAGTCACACTGTACTGTTCTGACCCCCTGTGCAGCCGTGTCCGTTCTCAATTTCTAATTTGCGTATTTCACTATGTGAACTGTGCAATCATCCTTCATTGTACTAAACGGGAGATTTCTTTAACTCAAAGTCGGCGTCAATAAATATTTGTACACCATAAAAAATAATTAGAATTAGTTACCTTTAGCAGATTACAAACCTATGAATTTTAAACAAGAGATCCCCCAGACCACTACAGAGAGATAGTAGACAGAAAAGACACTTGATTCTGTTTTCTGGTGTCCTGGATGGAATGTTATTTTTAAGAGACCCGTCTCGTACCCGTGAGCGCCTGCAGGACGTATCTGGACACGAGGTCCCGCTGCTCCTCAGTTAGCGAGCCCAGGCGGTCCTGCCTGGCCACGCGCGCTCCCTGTGCGGGGTCTCGTGGGGCGCCGCTCGGGGTCCTCTCCCGCAGCGCCCGCGCGCGCTCCCGCAGCGCGTCCCTGTGCGCCAGCGCCGCGCCCGCGTCGCCCAGGGTCTCGGGCAGGGGCACCGCGAGGCAGACCGCCGCCAGCACGGTCACGAGCAGGGCACACAAGCACACCTTACTGCCGGGCATGTCTGCGGAAGACCGACAGGAGCGCAGTGAGCGCGGCGTGGAGCACCAGCCCGAGCAACAACATCACCATCATCATCGTCATCATAGTGCCAGGTTATTTTGACACTCTTCAGGAAAGGGCAACAAAATACAAACATACACAGAAACAGTGATTTCTCTCTTCATCTTCTGCAGGTAACTGTAAACGTTTAACGCTCAGAGTGGGAAAGAAAGCGGAGTTAGAAACGCGAGTACCGGTGTGAACAGGGTGGAAAGTGCAGGAAAAGGCTGAGAGTCAGGACTTGACGCCCGTCATGCCCAAGCCCCGTGGAGAGAATGCGCCCCAGCACAGCCTCCTACCTGAGCTGCGAAGACTCCTCGGTTATCGGCTCCGGTCGCGGTTCTGTGTGCCTGCGCTGTGGTCCATCGCTTATATACACCCGAGCGGGTCCGAACCTCGCCTCACACGCGCGACGAGGCCCCTCCCTCGCCCGTGTCTCGGCCGCTTCTGGAGTGCCTCCGAGATCGGTATATTTGGCACAGAACAATAACAGGTCAAACAAAGAGAGTATCCGCTCCCCGTGCGTAATCGCGGCACCTGCGCGTCTTCAGCGGGTTCAGAACAAGTTCTGCGTCCGGCGCTCGATCCCTCTCCGGGCAGATCCTCTAATGGCTCTTCAAAAGCCTGCGGATGATTCAAGCACATCATGCTCGTGAGAGGGGAGCTGGGCCGCGGGGCAGCGCTGTGACAGTAAAGGGCTTTATTAATAACCAGTTAGTGAATGACAGGGGTCTGTGGGAACCAGCCTGCAGGTAGTGTGAAGCACGACAGAGTGGAGGGGTAGTAAATCCTTCCAATTTCTAATCGTTTGAGCCAGAACAGGGTAGAAGTAGAGCCAGGGTCTATCCCAACAGGCAACGGGCGCAAGCAGGGCACACACACCCTGGACAGGACACCAGTCCAACACAGGGCACACACAGACACACACACACCCTGGACAGGACGCCAGTCCAACACAGGGCACACACAGACACACACACACCCTGGACAGGACGCCAGTCCAACACAGGGCACACACAGAACACACACACCCTAGACAGGACGCCAGTCCAACACAGAGCACACACAGACACACACACAGACACACACACACCCTAGACAGGACGCCAGTCCAACACAGAGCACACACAGACACACACACACCCTAGACAGGACGCCAGTCCAACACAGAGCACACACAGACACACACACACCCTGGACAGGACGCCAGTCCAACACAGAGCACATACAGACACACACACACCCTAGACAGGACGCCAGTCCAACACAGGGCACACACAGACACACACACCCTGGACAGGACGCCAGTCCAACACAGAGCACACACACACACACACACACACACACACACCCTGGACAGGATGCCAGTCCAACACAGAGCACACACAGACACACTGACACACTCACACTAGGGCCAATTTTCCCAGAAGCCAATTAAAACACCAGTGTGTTCTGGGACTGTGGTTTGAAGCTCTAAACCCAGAGGAAACCCACGTGAACACAGGGAGAACATGCAAACTCCACCCAGACAGCACCCCAAGAGCTGACCCCAGGGCCCCAGCGCTGCCAGGCAGCAATGCTGGTCACTGCTCCACAGCTGTCCAGCAGACAGACAAGGCAGCGAGGAAAGGGGGTCTCACACCGAGAAACGAGGGGGGCAGGATGGGTGACTGGAACCCCGTGACACAGGGGATCCCAGCAGAGAGATCAGGGTGGCATTTCAGTGCAGATTAGCAAGAAGCGTTAGGCCACAGTCTGAAAGGCGCTATATCAATAACATTTACATAGTGACTAAAAACCAGAGCCACGTCTTTGACGCATCATTCCGGTGTTTCTGCACTCCTGAGCCATATTGATACACCTGTTCATGAGCTGGGTCTTCCTCCTGTAATCATCACGATCACTGGCTGCTGGAAAGGGGCTCGTGGTGTGAAGTAGTTTCTGCCCTGTTTGACAGAAATAGGATTGTCCTTCTGCACTTCAATAACAAGCCAATATACCAGTCCATTAAACACCAAGCGACGCGTCTCTTCCCCATCCTTCAGGGGTAATTACTGGGACTTCGATGGGACTTTATGGAGTATGAGATAAAACGGATCAATCTTTGTGACACTCAGGAAGGAGCAGCAGGCAGGTAGATGGAGTCTCAGAAGTGCGCTAGTTGGGCTGTAACCGTGACGATGGTGAACCCACAGCAGGACAGCTACACAGGATGTCAACTTCCTGAGGAAAGTGTGCTTGAAATACGTTGAGTTGTTAACTTTTCAAATGCTTTAAAATAGAAGTAAGCATATGTGCCTAAGTTTTTGGTCTAAGGGGCCTATTTCAAGCTGATGAGCAGTCTGTGTCCTGTTCCGGGGGCAGGTTGGAACAGGGGTCACTCTCAGGACGCCAGTGGACACCAGCTGGAAGAGCTGAGCCTTGGCCCCTTTGGCCAAGATGGAACAGGGAGGGCACTTCTTCCCTCTGGTAGCTCATTGACCCCAGGATCTGCTCCTGCTGATTCTGGATGGAGAGAGAAGCCTGACAGCAGCGGTCAAGGCTGTACAGAGAGAGGCCCTGGGCACTCTTTAGCCCTCCATTGCTCACGACCTGCCTGTTTCCTCCCGGCTCCAGATCCCAGTTCTGCCAGAGGTGCTCCTCTCCCAGTGCAGCCTGGGACAAGGGCAGAGCCAAACACACTGCAGCCTGGACACCAGGGCCTGAGTGCGTGGGACAAGGCACCCAAATCCATACCAGATCGGAGAGCTGAGGCTCTGATCCAGAGAGGCTGCCTGATCCGAAACAGCTCACTCTGTCTGACAGAACCAACATGTCTGCGCCTGCCTCCTTCACCACAAGCACTGCACTTCCTGTTTGCCCAGAGCTCCTGCGAATGGCCCCCGTACATTCAGCTATATTTATCCCGACAGTGTGGGGTTCTGAGGGCATTGGGGAGGGGCGTTAAAAGGCTGAGCTGCAGCTCCCCCAGCCGAGGGCCCTGTTGCGGGGGGATAATGGGGAGAACAATCCCAGCTCCTCCTCGTTTGATCTCCGGAGCTCGTTAAGGCTCGCCGCTCTCAATCTTTGGCATTCCATGAATAACCCCCTCACCGGGGGCTTTCGAAAACACAAAAGAGGACGAAAACATGTTTTGATGCAGCCCTCGAGCGGCCCGGCGTGGAGCCCGCGAGCAGAGGCCGGGGCGCCCCACTCACGGCCGCGGAGCCAGCTCTCATCGCGCGGCGCATGCCTGCTCTCCATTGGCCCACGGACAAAGAGCCTTTATTAGAGGCGGCAAGAACAATAAGATCGGATTGAGCCCGGTGGAGCTGCCTCTCCTGACAGCAGCTGGTTTTCCTGCTCCTCCTCCGCCTGGTTTTCAATGCCTGTTTATTTCCTCCAGGTGCCTCGCCCGCTCTGTGAAGTGCACGCACACACAGATCGGGGCATTCGGTCGTCAAACCTTCATGCTGCTCCTGTATAGCGGAGTTCATCGCCTAATTCTGTGGCATTCCTCATGAGCGTACATCAGCGTTTTCTCTCTGATCTGAAGTGCTTCTACCACGCTCCCACCTTGACTGGGCTCTGCCATGGTAACCAGTTATTTGTATCATGGGCATTACTGCAGTGTACTCTGCTTTGATCTGGGTGTGGGGCAGATATGATATGAAAGTATTTCGCAACAGGCAACCAACACGAGCAGCAGATTCGGTGCAGCAGATTTGCCTCCGCTGAAGTGCAGCTCCTGTCCGCAGGGCTCTTTCCTGGTCTGTTTCAGCTGGACTCCTGCAGGGTTTGCTCCCTCTCACCAATAAACAAGCACCAGCCTCTTCTACTGTCATAGGCGTGTGATTGAATGTATTTTAAATCTGCAACTAATGACCGATACAGTACTTGGGCTTCATCCATCAAAGCCATTTTCAGAAAGTCTCTGCTTCACAAGGAGGGGCACAGCAGCCAGGCTGCAAGGTTAGAACACTCTTGGATGGGACATGAGTCCATCTCGGGGTGCAAACTCGGATTCAGGACTCATCAATTCACCCAGCTACTATGCGTACTTGAAAGGCGGGAGCAATCTAGTGCCCCCTGCCAAAACTCATGCAGGCATAGTGACCGTACAAGCTCCACACAGGCGGTACCCCTGTCCAGAATTAAACTCAGGACCCAAGAGCTGTGAATCAGCAGGGCTATTTGCTTTGCCAGTATGTCAACCATATTTGGGCCTCTTTCCCTGAAAACCTCCTTTGTTAGATGAATGCACAACAGGCTCTAATTATAACTATGACAGAGGTCCTAGCTGTTGCAAAACCAGACAGCCATTCGAGTTCCATCAAGGATGAGTGCTGAACAGAGAGCTGCTGCACGTTGCACTTTTCCTTTCAGTGACGACACGAAGCCCGACACACAGCGAACCTCAGAACGTATCGATGGTAAAGCCAGCCCGATGTGCACTCCTGAAAAAACAGCTGCCCCCATTCTCCCCAAAAGGGGAGAAACATTTCTGAGCATTTTCTCCTTCTCAATACGTCCATGCTGGGGACCTTGGCACTGGTATTTGTGTACTGTTTCCTGACCTGTGGATGAAATCCCCTAATCTCCCCGTGCTCAGGATAAACATGCAGGAAGCGCTCAGTGCTGTTTGCCTTGACCAGATCCAATAAGCTGCTCTTATTGCAGGAACTCTCCCAGGAGGGGAGAGGGGATGCAGAGCCAGCCTGTATTTGCACAGCACCTGGGCAATATTCTGAAGCCGAGTGATTTCATCCTCTCACTGACATTTGTGCAAAACAAGGTACACATCTTTTATTTAAAAAAAAGAATGTGGAGGCTGCAGCCAGCTGTAGGATAGACAAACAGTGAAACACCAACCAGAGGCCAGAAGCGAAAACCACAAAGACATGCATTTAAAACTGAGAACAGGGGACACTTCTTTACCCAAAGAGTTGTGGGAGTGTGGAACAAGCTACCCAGCCATGTTGTTGAAGCGGATACTTTCAGCTGAATGAGATCCATGGGTCAATTAGCTACTAACCAACGATCTAGATGGGCCAAACAGCTTCCTCTTGTATGTAACCTTTCTTATGTTCTTAGGAGAACTAATGAGGAAGTGTGGACACAGACAGTGTCTCTGCAGTAAAGCTCATGTGCTGCTGGCTCTCTGCCACACTGAAGGGCCCAGTCACAGCTCAGGTTGCACGTCTACAGCTCTGGTCATTTTACTGTTGGAAAACATTTTTACTGCACTTTTAAGTTATTTAACAGCATGGGACTTAATGAAAATTATACAACTGTGGAAGCTGTTTTTAGATCCTATTTTAAAGGCTTATCAGATGATGGCACACGTGAAACTGACAGATCTGTGTTGCCTTTTTTTGTTGGCGATTTTGTTTAAAACAACATGCGTTGAAGCTTTTAGACAGCCGTCTAAGAGGTGGACCACAGATCTTCAGCCCCATTCACTGCACAGCTCTACCTGGGAATCCTACTACAGCCCCCCACTGCTCCATGTTAGTAAAGTCAAGTGTGTGTCTGGGGTCAGAGCTCACCTGGGATGTACTGTAGGAGTGCGGTTTGGGTTAGCTGATAGCTGGCCTCACATTGGGATGTCAGAGATACTCTGGATATTGTGGATGCGTCCAGAAAGATTGTCAGAGGACAGACAGAGAGCTTAATGTCACAATCCTCCAAGCACAGAGCACAGAAAAGCAGGACTCTGATACCCTTCGAGACTAAAGAGGAAAAAGGAGGTTGTGTTTGGCTCCTGAGGCAAGAGGCAGGCAGGGCTGGTCAGCTCATGCAGGGTGCCTGGAGACTCACAGAAATATCCAAGAGATATGTCAGATAGACTAGACAACCACTGAAGAAAAACCTCAGGAACAGAGAATCCATAAAAATCCACCGTTTTCTTATTTGAACTGCTGGACTGGAAGTGAATGAGATGAGAGCACTCTGCGTGGCCAGGTGAAAAGGTTTCTGAGCTCTGCAGAACGGGAGAGGGTCTGTGATTCACTGCTTTGGTTTTTATAGGACCAGAAAGAGGTCTTTGAAGGAGCACATCCTTCTGAAAAATGCAGTGTTATTGTAAAAAAGCATAAAGGAGGATTCAGTGTGTCAAGGTGTTACGTTAATGCCTGCCTGGGAATGACCAATTGAAAAGAGAAAGACCCATGAAGAAACATTTTAAGATTCCCTGTTTGTAAAGCAATTCTTTGATGGACAGTTGCTGCCTCTATGAGTTTTCTACAGATGAAGTCATATAAAACGGTCTATATATTTATATTTATTCTGACAGCTTTGAGCATCACATGTATGACTTACATCATGGTCACATTCATCGAGACCTCTCTTCCATGTCCCAAACTGGACACAAGACCATCATGCCTCAGAGATCCTGCATTTTGTTATTAGAAACTTACTGGGCCTCTGGCAGAAAAACTCAGGATATCTGCTTCACTTTCCTGAGCCTTTTTCAAATCCATAACTCTTTTATTGCCCAGTAGGGAAGAGATTTATGAAGCCTCCTTATTGACTTCAAACAAGACATGTGCGCAAAACCCTGCTGTTTACACAAGCCTGCGATCACAGCAGTCGATCGCAGCCCCTCAGCCCGACACGCTCAGCGAGCATCAGCCCTGCTGATCAATGGCTGGGGTCCAAGATGGGCCTCGGCCATTGATCTTGTGATGACACTGCTTGGTCTGGCAGGTGAGCCACAGCTCAGGAAAAACAAGAGTCATAAAGCAAACACAAACAGCTATAAATGGGAATGCGTAATTCTAGAGTACATACTCTCCTGCCTCATCAGAAAGCTTCTTGTTCTTGTTCCTGGATGTACCTGGATGGGAAACCTCCTGGGAAAAACTAAGGTTCATGCTGGAGGTGTTAATTGGGCCAGTAGGGGGCGCTCACCCTGCGGTCCATGTGGGTCCTAATGCCCCAGTATAGTGATGGGGACATTATACTGTAAACAAGAGCCGTCCTTCGGATGAGATGTAAAAGCGAGGTCCTGACTTTCTGTGGCCATTAAAAATCCCTGGTCGTTTCTCAAAAAGAGTAGGGGTGTAACCCCGGCGTCCTGGCCAAATTTCCCATTGGCCCTTACCAATCATGGCCTCCATCTATGAATTGGCTACATTACTCTGCTCTCCTCCCCACTGAGAGCTGGTGTGTGGGGAGCGTTCTGGCGCACTATGGCTGCCGTCACATCATCCAGGTGGGGCTGCACACTGGTGGGAGGGGATCCCCATTACCTGTAAAGTGCTTTGAGTGGAGTGTCCAGAAAAGCTCTATACAAGTGTAAGCAATTATTATTGTTTTTACCCAGAATTGCAGAGCTCATCCTGGAGACTTAGGGTGCAAGGCAGGATCCCCCACTGGATGGGACCCCAGTCCATTAAGTGACACCCTCACACTCTCATAGTCTAGACACTGTGGCTCTGGAAGGTGAGGGGAGCAAAACATGCAAACTCCACACAGCCCTGCCTCAAGCACTGCAAAAGATGTTTTAGCACAAATTTTAAACTTTAAAGCCGATTAACAGACCTGTAAATAGTTCACAATAGTTCCATGGCTTTATGATAAAACATGAGGAGCCAATTCTCTTTTCCCAGTTTATAGTGGTTTAAGGATATTTCCAGGCTAACTGTTTACTTCCAATATCACTGATAGAGCCAGAATGTACGAAGGTTAGAAAGTACAGGAAGACTCTTCCTGCTGTTGTTTTACAGACTCCCATCGGAATATGTGAAATCCTAAAAAACAAGCCTACACAGCAGAGATCGGAGAATCCCATATTCCAGTCCCCTGAATCGATTCCATCCCCGTCTAGAGCGTAGGTTCAATTCGCAAGCAGGTTTAACACTTATTTGGAAGGTGATCTGTTGTTTCTCGGGAAACTCTTTTTTAAAACACAGGTGTTGTCTAAAGTTTAGCGGTCATCTTCCCCAAGATCTTTCACTTCCAATATAAACTCCCGCACATCCTCGATGAACCTTGGCACCAGACATTTCAATGCCAAACGCTGACTGCCGCAGCATTTGAAGCTTGCAGACGCGCAGCTCAAGGTAACCCAGTCCAGTGCCTTGTATCGGGCAGAAGCCCTGGAAATGGGCATCCTACTTACATCCTAAGTACAGAAACCTTCAATTACAGAAGTCAGTCTGGACACCTGGGACTTGGAATTAGCCATTTTCATACCTTTCCATCAAATGGCAAGACATGATCACTCAACAAACTCATCTGTACACATATTGGAACTGCAGAGAGCACATTTTATTTATTGCGGAGAGCTTATTTGCAGCACTAGGCATTATAATTTTAGTCTATGCTTGGACACAAAGCATACAATTATGGCAGAAATTCACAGAACAGCAAGCTGGGAATGCTTTGATGTAAAATGTGTGCTACATTAGGAATTCAGTATAAAATGGGCAGCATAAACTATTACAGCCTGGATGGCTGATCTCCAGGAGAAACTACCTTTTCCCAAAAGGACTTCCAATACACAGCTCAGGTATCCTTAACTACAAGCTATGCATTTGCCCTCACCCCAGTTTGGATACTTGTTTAGCACATCCCTATACTTCCTCAGAACAGAGGACTCCCAGAAACAACCAGTTCATTGCCATTAAAATTTATTGAAAACAGACACAAAAATACAATCTGCAATTTACAAATGGCAGTAAATGCAGCTATTAAAGTGCTTCAGTTTTCATGTAGTCTTATGCCTTTCAGTCCAGGACAAGGAACTAGTTTAATACCTCTTAAAGCAAGTATTATCAGTGACTAATCTCAAAGTCAAGTAAACACCCCATTCCCTCTAAAGGTTGATTCACTGACTCCCAATAAACTCATTTAGAAAAGGCTTAACCCAAAAGGTGCAATTGAGAGCCTGCACTGCTCCCCCACCTGAGAATTAGGTACTACAGAAACAATGGACTTCTCAAGGGGGATTCACCAACCACCAGCCCCAAAGGTAGGTAATGCTCAACACCAGAGCTTGAGACAGCCCTACTCCAGTTGGGATCCATCCCTTCCTCCTCCAGCCCACTGTACAGATTCAAATAACTAAGTGGGTTATCTTCAACTCTTGATGTAAGGGATACTAGTCAAGAGCTTCCCTCATGTCTTAGCATTTTAGTTAAGACTCCCCTACCTACTGGGGTTTCTGAGAATTGGAGGTAGCTCATGTACACTCATCAGCCACACCCAACAGATCAATGGACACTCAGCATAGCTGGTCTTAAGTCTATCCCATCCCCCAATAATACTTAACAATTCAGAATGACATCTGCTTGTTTTATTTTGAAACATTGTACAAAAAAAATTGAAACATGGAACAGTGCTTTAAAAGAAGCACACAAAAGGTCAAAAGAAAAGTTAAAACTAGGAGTTGCTGTTCTCTTGCATGGTTTCCCGGATCATATTGAGCTGTCCTTTTGTGCACTGGATCTTCCCCTTTCCCGAGGGTGGAGCTGTGTTAAGAGTCTTAATTCAGAAGCCATCATTTTCTAACGAGAACTGCAAGGGCTGCAAACGTCAAGCTTTGTAGTCAGGGCTCTCCTCCTCTCAGCAATTAGAATCCATGGACCTTCAGCTGCTCCTCCTTTGCCAGGCCAATCTGGGGAAAAAAGTAAACAGACTGAACAAGGATACTATGCAAGAAGAGCCCTGTTAATGCAAAAGGCAGAGCTCCTCAGTCTCCACAGAGGGTGTTTCCTTGACCCAATGGGTCATTTGGGTATACTGAAGAGATATCGGCACTAGACTGGTTTAGGCAACATACCTCTGTAAGGAACTGGCAGATATTCTTGCGCTGATCTCCTTGGAGCTGAATTACTTCACCATACTCTGGGTGCTCAATCACTGTCCCATTGCAGGCAAATTTCTGGAGAGAAAAAGATGGTTTAGACCTTGATTGTCCAGATAAACACTGGAACCACAACACATTCTGGTTCTCCAAAGTGATACGCACATTAGGTGCTGTACTGTGTTAACAGCATTTCTCTGCCTTTCATTATAGCAATACCTCACCTTTTTGAAAGCTTTGACTAGTTTCTTCTTATCATACTCCTCTGCAATTCCCTGGACAGTGGTCAGAGTCTTCCTGCCGTTTCTCTGCTGAATTCTTATATGGATGTAGTCTTCAGTCCCAGCCGGGAGCCGGTCATCACCCTTAGTTGCATCAGCAAAGGGGTCTGCAAGCAGAAGTATTCCATGAAACCTGGTCTATTTAGGGCTCTTGGCTCAGAGCCCTGGCCCTACGCCTCGACAACGATAAACAAGTCAACTAGAATGAAATCCGACGGTGCTGGGGACATACAGGGGGTGTAATCTTGTCTAGCTGAAAGATTCAGGAACAAATCAATACTAGGATGGACCTCAAGAGTCAAAAGCCCAATATCGCACGGTCTTCATGAACCGTGTCGATTAGGAAGGTCTCCTCAGAACCCGGACAAAATGGCTCTCGGCGATCTCGGCTGTCGCCTCCCTTGTCCACCCGAGGAGCCGAGTGCGCATGCCCGGGCTGGCGGAATGCCCCTGCCGCAGACCCACAGCTAAGACCCGCCCACGGCAGACGCCGATTGGGCCGGCAACACGTCTGTCCATTCCGTTCATCCGCCCATTGGACGACAGGGGTGACGCACTAACCGACAGCCCTCCCGCACCTCCCCGTTTTTAAGATCAAGTTTCTGGTAAGCATTACGCAAACCATAAGAAATCCTAGCCTCGGCTCATAAGCTAAATACATGTACAACAAACCGTATTTAAATGCCGACTATTAACCTGCATCTAGACGTTCGGCGATAAAACGCCGAAGCCCGGGCCGGAAATATGGCCGGGTAGCTGGGCCCAGCACAGCGCCATTACACAGCGAGTCTCCAGCCCCGGGACCGTCGAATTTAGGGGGCCCCAAGCTCCCCCATCACGAAAACAGCTTGTATAATACCCTCAAAAATAAGTAAGCAAGTCCAAAATGTCCATTTTCATAGTGCGTCGTTGGCTACAGAAAGATTTCATCACCCCTCCCCCGCCACAGACATAAAAATGTAAAAACCTACCGAAAGTTTGGAGGTTCTGGATAGCGGACATACGATAAGATTCGCTTTCCTCTCGGAAGATAACTGGTTGTCGAGCGGCTGTTTTTTTCCCTTCGTAGGCTTGTCTTGTTGTCTAAGCGTTGTTTGTCGACCTTGCCCTCCTCTGAGACTCGCTCAGCTCAACGTCTCTCCACAAAATGGCGCCCGTGCCTCTACAGCGCAGGGAGAGGCGCTTTTATAGCCCCGGCGACGCAGCGCCGCTCTGACGCAGCATGACGTCACGACGAAACTATTTGGTAGACCGGAAGAGAAGTCGCTCGAGGGGGTTGGGATTGTTCTCAGGTGTAAACAGAGACCGATATGTTGTCAGCCACTGCTTCCGGTTTCAATTATGTTACCGAATTTGTTATATAATTTCCCCAAAGCTGGTACGTGCTCCTATTTCAAAGTAATGAGAAATTATTCATCTGTTCACCAGAAAAAGAACGTTGTGCTCATGGTAACTATATGAACTACCTCGGTTACTATTTTAAGGATTTCTTACTGGAAAAGATCTATGTCAACAGCCATTTTAAAACATTGTTACTACCATATATAAAATATTTCAAGCTTATCTATACCTATAACTATAACTATTCACCTTCATGGAAGGTGAATTTAATGTATGAGAGTTCTGATTACTCGCTTCTAGGTTTATAACACACACAGAATCACAGAATCATGTATTAATGTGAAATTTTCTTATTGATGGAAGCAAATTGAGTCTTGTTGGGAGGTCAAAACTGTCAAATGCGATGAAATAACTGACGTTTTTTGTACCAAATCACCTTTTTAATTGATCACAGGTAGGTTGTTGCGGAAGCTTAGAAGTGGTGGTTTAGCGATTGCCCATGATCTAGTCACCCCTGTGTCTTCTGGTTTCGCTTCAGCTGATTACTCGCTTCATCACAGGTTATTCATTTCAGTTATAGCTGAAGCCTTCAGTTCATAAAGATGAAATTGTTACTGATTGTTACTGTTACTGAAATTGTAACAGGTATCAATCCTCTACTAATCTGTAAATTTCAAGAATGCCTTAATTCAGGTGTGTGAGCTGGACTATATATCAAGTTTAATTAAAAACATGACCCGCTTTGGCAGCGTCATTCTCACCTGTCCCTGTTCATCATCAATCGATCACTTGTACAGAGCCTGTTGAATCAAAAATATGGGAACGAATTCCTAATTAGTGAATTGAGCAGAGACTGCACAAAGTTCCTTGTGCTCAATATTCTGAAAATAAAGTACTTTAACTGCGGTATTTCAAAAACAAGTACTGAGTGTAAAAAGTAAGTTTATACCACCAAGCAGATCGGGTTCAGGCAATTAACACCGGTGAAAAGGGCCCATCTAAGCACAGGGGACCTACAGGGTCAGGAATTATGTACGACGTGCCGGAAGAGTCCAGAAAAAGCGCAAAAACGAAGCCTCAGTACTACAGTACGAGAGAATTCCGGAAAGGGGCTTACGAAATTTCAAGCAAAGTATTAACATGAGTTACCGAAATTCACCAGCAGATGGCGATCTTCTCTCCTCCATTGAACACAGGTCCTGCTGGACACCGAGCGCCTCAATGCCTCGAGAGCAGGATCAGATTAGTCTCCCACAAGGAGGACTGTGTAGGCATAGCATTGCGAGTGAGTAGCCAGATATCAGATGTGCAATTTCCGTCTGAAAGGTCTGTCTTTTTTACAAGAGGTCCAGATCTAGAGTGCACAAGAAAGACAAGAGGGAATCCACAAATTCTGTCTCATGACTCGGTAACCTATTTTTCTAAAATGACAAACCCGGTGTGGGGATTTCATGTACCTCCAGAAGGTATTGCCACATACAGTGACTCTTGAAGTATAAGATCTCTCTCTAGCCAGAAATGTGGCTGTAAGTTTCCCCAGAACGTTTCTTGAAAAGAGTAGGGGTGTTACCCTGGTGTCCTGGCCAAATTTCCCATTGGTCTTTACCCATCGTGGCCTCCTAATAATCCCCATCTCTGAACTGGCTTCATCACTCTGTTCTCCTCCCCACTGAGAGCTGGTGTGTGGGGAGCGTTCTGGCGCACTATGGCTGCCGTCGCATCATCCAGGTGGGGCTGCACACTGGTGGTGGTGGAGGGGATCCCCATTACCTGTAAAGCGCTTTGAGTGGAGTGTCCAGAAAAGCGCTATATAAGTGTAAGCATTATTATTATTATTATTATTATTAAATTGTAAATTGATGAAGGATTGTGTTTGCTAAAACACTGACAAGCGTTTTGGAGTTGAGTGCGGGCCTGGTTGGTTCTACTGTTTTCAGCATTTTTTTATTGGACAGCACCTCTATAATCTTTGGTTGTGCGTTCCTTTTCTCCTTGGTTGTGCCTGGCATCCCATCACAGTGGGCTTGGGCATGGCTCCTGTGCCCCACGGTTTTTCCATAATAACTTATTTTTATGAAGCACTTTTCCAAACCTAAGGGTGCTATACACAGTTACACAGTGATAAAGACAAAGTAAAAAAAAATACAATAAAAAAAATAAATAAGAGCACACGTGTTTGTACAGATAGAGTGTAAGGCAATCAGACACAGGTTGAGGTAAAAAAAGGTGAGTTTTGAGTTTACATTTGAATAGAATCAAGGAATCTGTCTCTCATAATGTCTGAGGAAGGACATTGCACAATAGTGGAGTAGCTACAGAAAAGGCACCGTCTCCAAAAGAACGAGATTTAGTCCCAGGTACAGTGAGTAGAGGACCAGACTTAACTGACTGGAGCCTACAGGAAAGAGTTCAAACATGGAGGAGCTCAGAGATGTGTGATGGAGCAAGATTGTTTAGTGCCTTTTAAAGTCAGTAAGAAGATCTTATATAGAATACATGACTTTATAGGCAGCCAAAGTAGAGATTTAAATGTAGGAGTGACATACTACCAGGGTCTGGTGTGGGGTAGTATTCTAGTTTTGGACGTACAGTGTTGCAGGATTAGTGTTGCTGAGAAGGGCCAGGGGGAGCCCGTAGAGTCACAAGCTGCCCGCGCGGTGTGTGGCTGAGGCTGGGCTGCTCCCGTGCACCCTGTTGTGCGATGGAACCGAGAGGCCAGTTGCCAAAATTAAAAATCATTTTCCTTTGTTTGACGGGGCTTAACATGTAATGAGCCTTATCCCTCCTTTGTTTAATTCCCCCTTTTAAAGGTGTTGTGTGCTAATGTCAGTAAAGGCCACGAGCACCCCTGGCGCTGCCGGAGGTAGCGGAGACCGCAGGCGAGTGCGGGCAAGCCCCATGGCGGGAGTTTGGCGCTCAAGATCAGCGCGGTCTCTGATCTGAGGGGGCGGAACAAGCAGACCGAGCCCCAAACACACAGACACTCCTGTCTTCCTGCCAGGTGGCGTCGCCTGCAGGTCCGCGGCCCACCCGGGGGGTGGGGTGAGATGCCAGAGGTCTCTGAAGGTTCTCATGCACACAGTGCACTGGTTGTGCTCTCACTTTGTTTTGGGCAGTTGTCCCATCAGTTCGCTCTCACTGGCTTGACTGGTTCAGTGCTCTGTGCTTGGCAGTTATCTGCTGTAGACTAGGGTAACGTGAGCATGAGGGCGGCTCTTGGGGCAGGTGCGCTGGCTCTGTGGCTCAGGATCTGTGCCTGTGGCTGGAAGGTTTCCAGTTTGTATCCGCGGCTGGCAGAGGAATCCTACTCTGTTTGGCCCCTGAGCAAGGCCCTTAACCCCAACTGCTCCAGGGGCACCATATAAATGGCTGACCCTGCGCTCTGACCCCCAGCTTCTCTCCCTGTCTGTATGTCTCATGGAGAGCAGGCTGGGGTCTGTGAAAAGACAAATTCCTAATACAAGAAATTGTATAGGGCCAACAAAGTGATCTTATCTTAAACTGATCTTATCTCTGTCCCAGTGCTACTGTGTGAACAAACTGTGGAGGCAGGGTCCTGTCCAAAGCCTCAGAAATAATAGGCTGTGCACACCCTTCCAATTCATCCCTTTATAGAAACTGCACTTCCAGTCTCGTCTACGAGATTGATTCAGACCCCTCTCATCCAGCTCACAGTCTTTTACAGCTCCTCCCTTTGGGAAAATGCTTTAAAAGCAACCCTTTCAAGAGCCGCCTGCTTCAAGCTCAGCTCCTGCCCCACTGCTAGACAAACATTGACTCCTGAGCTTATCTTTTTAACAATTCTGTTTGCTACATGTAAGGTTAATGTTTACGTGTGCACGTGATTGGGTTCTGCTTGTCTTTTCATTTCAATTTGTGCTCATTTTTGAGTTGTTATCTGCTTCATCAGGTGTTATCTGCTTCGTCTCTTGCAGTAGCGAAAGCAAATTCCAGCAACGACTGCTGTGGCAATAAAGAATAAAGAAAAATGCACAAGAGCATTTCAATGACACCTCCCTTGATTTCCTTAGTAGCTCCTAGTAATTAGCGAATCTTAGATAGAGGAAGTTTGAAGTGTTGTTTGTTCTGCTTTAATTACTCTTTAAAAGGAACTTTCTTGGGGTACTTTGACACTCAAAGCTTTGGCCTGAAAACCAGGTTATCCTGCTCGTACTAATCCTTCCGAGCATTTTGGAGAGATGTCCCCAAGATGAGCCCAGCATGGAAAGAATAAAGCAGCATTTCTAGAATTCTTCTGCTTGCAGCCTCCGCTGAGGACTGAAGAGCTATACTGTACATTTGCATATCTGCGCACCATCGCCCTGGCGACAGCAGCCCGGATAGCCCTGAGCGGGCGTGGGCGAGCCTGGTGTGTGCGTGAGGACAGCAAGTGTGATAACCAGCTGGAAAAGTCAGCAGGGTGAGGCCATCCTGCAGGCCCTACATAATCCTCATTTTTGGATTCGCCTCCCACTCCTCCCCTCTTTTATGACTTTTCTTCGTGTTAAAGATTCTGTCATCTTCTGTCTAGTGATGAACCTCACTAAGATTGTTAGTGTCATTTCACAGCAGCGTTTCCGCCTTGTAGCCTGATCTGGTCTGTAGCCTGATCTCAGAAGCTAAGGTCTCAAGGCTGACCCTGATCAGTACCAGGATGGGAGACCTTTAAGGAAAACCAGGTTGCTGCAGTAAGTGGTGTTGGTAGACCAGTAGGTGGCGCTCTGCCCTGTGGACCCGGGTTTCTAAGTCAGTGCCCCTGCATGAAGAGGCAGGAGCTCATAGGAGAAGTGCCCTTCCTGTTCTTGGACACTATGGCTCAGGCGGA